CCCCCAGCCCACCGGCCCGGTGTACGAGGTGGAGAGTGGGTGGGGGGTAAACCACCCCCCTCACTTTTCAAAGTGGGAAAAGGGTTGAGAAACACTGATCTGACATTCCATGTGCTTCACAGTAAGAAAAACTGCTTTTCAGAATAATTATGCCTCCTCCCATTAAAGGGCAGAAGAAAAGCCTATTTAAAATTGACATACAAAGTCTACACCCGGGCTAAGGATCTGCTGCAGCGGCCGAACCCTCCAGCGAGTAGGTCTCAAAGCCTCTTCAAAACAACCCTGTGAGGGAGGCTTGCCGTTCGCTGTTCGAAGGCAAATCAGTGGGGTTGTGGCAGGGCGATTCAACTACCGGTAGAGCCACACCCAATAAGACCTGGGTCGCACGCCAGGGTTTGCAGAAGAGCTTCCACGTTGGTTCAAAGGAATGGGGCCCCTTTACATCCTCCCCACATTTCCCAGATCTAACTGCATGCTGGAAGAGCAGCCCTCTCCTTTAAGAAACAACGGCGTAAGCCACAGTTTGTACAAATTCAGATGCGACGCGTACAGAACATTAAAATTGTGCCAGTTGTGCTCCGAGGGTCATAAATTACTGTGTCCACCCCAGGGAATTATTTCGCATTGGGGGTCTTTCAAGAGGCAATCCAGGTCTGGTTAGGGGTGGCCAGAACGGGGAATAGATCCCACGGAGGCCATCGGGGTGAAGAAAGAAGATCTCCCCCGGGTTCCCTTTGCCAGCCGAGATGGCGCCGTTTCTCCCTAAATCCCTGAACGGTTGGCACAGGATCACATCTCATGGGTGGGGTGGGGGGGAGTGGAGACAATAAATTAAGTACAGTATGTGGTGTCTGGGGAGAGAAATGGGGTGGCTCAACCGTCTGTGCCCTCCTTGGTGCCCCTCGCCAGCCTCTTCTGGCGTCTCGAAACGGAAATAACCGCAACAGAATTCAAGCACGCCTCGGCGTTCTGGCAGGCCGCTCTGCACAACGGCAGGGCCGGCCCTGCTGTTAGACGCAGGTACGCTCCGTCGGTAGACGATGAGACGTGGAAGTAGCGATCTGTGGGCGGCACGTTGGCATCGTTGGCGTTGAATGGAGGCCCAAAGGGGCAGCTTTGGCACGAAGGAGGAACTAGCGAGGGGGTCCTTAACGCGGCCCAGACTTTGTGGGGTCCCATCCGTTGGAGGACAGTTCCCCAGCAACGGTCTAATGCTCCGCAGGGTGACTGGTACACCGAGTCAACCCAGTTGGAGGGCAGCCCCCTGCAAGGGCTCCACCTCCAGTTGCTCCCTCAGCTCCTGGGCACAGCCCCCCAGCTGCATGGCCTCCAGGGTGGCCAAGACGGCGTCCACCGAGGCGCCCCGCCGCTGACACCAGCGTTTCAACATCTCGTACTGCTGCTCGCGGAACTGGGAGTGCTCGAGCTCCACCAGCTCGATTTCACCGTCCTGCAGCCCCAGGCCCCTGACAAACTCCTTCCAGCGGCGCACCGGCACGGCGTTGATGACGGTGTACAGCTTCCTCCCCTGCTGCAGCGAGCGGTGATGTGCGGGGACTTTGTCCACCAGCAGGGCGGTCTCGGGAAGGGAGGGGACGGGGCTGCCTGGAAAACAGCAGGGAATCAGGGCCGCGTGCCTGTGGGAATGGGGGCCCCGGCAGGTCCAGCATCCCCGATCCGGGGCCCGACAGGCGGGCGGGACTCCGGGCCCCGTTACGGTGGCGGAAGGACGGGGGGGGCTGGAGACAATGTCGCTGGAGGGCGCCGGGGCGGGGCGGGGAGTCGAAATGAGCCACGCGGAGCGTTTGGTCACAGCTAGCAAAGTCGGGAGGGCTGCACTGTCAAGAGCAAGTCACGGTGTCTGGATTGTAGCAATCCACAGTGTAGGGGGGTGCTGTGGGAAATTATTATTATTAGATAATACGGTATTTATATCTATATATCTGTAAAATACGGTAATCAATGTTATCTATTATATAATTATGAAATAAATAATATATTATTATTATATATTATTATTTATTCCACAATTACACGTATTATAGTATTATATATTATATAATTTTATATATTATAAGCTCGTGTCGTTGGCAAAATTTCCCCTTTTCCCCCTAACATGGTTTGGTTCAGCATAGGGAAGGCTCTGTCTCTCCCCATCCCAGTGTTTCTCAACCTTGGCCAGTTGAAGAAGTGTAGACTTCAACTCCCAGAATTCCCCAGCCAGCCATGGGTGGCTGGGGAATTCTGGGAGTTGAAGTCCACACTTCTTCAACTGGCCAACGTTGAGAAACACTGCCCTAACCAGTCAAGGGCGAGCTGCTTCTCCTCCCCGCCTCAGTCGCCCCATCTGCAAAATGGGCACAAGAATCTAAGGCCGATGTAATCCCTGAGGTTGGCCTCGAATCTCCTACGATCCCCTCCCGATGGCACATCGTTCTGCCTCCGGGTTTAACGCCGGGCACGGGACCACCGAAGAAATTTACCAAAATGGGGCTTGGCGATGTAGAGATCCGGAGCAGGGAGAGGCTGGTCCCGAGCCGAGGTCATCGCCTTCTTCTTATAGCAGAGGGCCAGGGCACCCCCCAGGAGGAAGAAACACCCGCAGGCTGCCAGTGCTGAGACAGAAGGAAGGAAGAGCAAAATCGTTAGCCGAGGGTCCGGCGGTCCACGCTGGCTTCCGAGAGCGGCCCTCCTGGATAAGCCCAGGACGGTCAAGCACCAGCTTGGTGGTGCGAACTCCCTGGATGTTGCCTGGCTCCCTTAAAAGCCCCTGGAGTGACAACCCGCCTTGTTCCCTCTGGGAGAAGTAAAATAAAATAAAATAAAATAAAATAAAATAAAATAAAATAAAATAAAATAAAATAA